GCGAAAGTTCGACGAATACACCTACTACAGTCTTCCCCCGAATACAACGTACACCAAATTCAGCTATAATGACCGTACGTTGTATTCGGCAGAATTTATGGAAGGTGTGCCTCTCTTAACAACGGAACGGGTACCAACGACGAAATCTCCGCGAAAGTTCGATGAATATACCTAGCACCCCTACGGCGAATTTACGGGAGTTGTGCCTCTCTTAAGTTTCACCAACTGATGCCAACCACGAAAACTCCGTGAAAGTTTTATGAATGTACCCCGCACCTACCGCGGATTTACTGGAGTCGTGCCGTTCTTAACAACTGATGCCAACCACGAAAACTCCGTGAAAGTTCGATGAATGTACCCCGCACTTACCGCGGATTTATTGGAGTCGTGCCGTTCTTAACACGGTTCTTCACAGTGACGTTAAGATCCTTCCGCGCTGCCTTCAGTGATCTTATGCCTTCCCGAGTCCCATCGCTGCAAAACTGTAGGAACAGAGATCGCAAGCACTGCAGCCGTTCGCCGATCAGATGTAGAGCGGCATCTGTCACACAGGCATGTCGGAGACCCAAGACTTCCAAATTAGGTATGTGATCTACCATGAATCTTATATCATCAATATCAATCTGGAAAAACTTCCAATGAATGGGCAATTCAAAAATCGAGCTACACTCTGCCGACACGTCCAGGTACGCTGATGACACATCAAGGTATAAAGAGACTAGGTGCGGAAACCCAGACATCAAAACCCTAACAACCTCCGAGAGCTCTTTCTTCTCTCGCTCATATATGACGAACAGGTGAAGGGATCGAAGCTGAGGACATCCCTGAACAAACCGTTTGATCGCACCGATCGACGGCTTGAAATCGTAGTTCATATTATGGCATTGTCTGTTCCAATCATCGACGTCCATTTCATCGATCTTGATCTTTTCAAGAAGCGGGCAATGCGTGCCGATGTACTTCAGCAAGCCGTCGTTGCAAAATCGGAGGGAGAGACTCCTTAGATGAGCTCGGCTGCGCACAATGACGGCCCTCGTTAATTGGTCGTAGATCTCCTCGTTCACCTCCTCTGTGTCTCTCAGATCCGCTTCTCTCCAACAGCCAGGATCTAACGACGCGCGGCGCCATTTCTGGCACACGCTTCCCGCACGGAACCTTTCCCGAACAGGAAGGAAGCTCAGGACGACGGCAAGCACATCCATTTGCAGACTTGACCAATCGGGTAAGAGCGGCGGTATATCAATGACGTCATCTTTATCCACCACATTAGCAGGCCCATCATGGTCAACTTTATCCACATTGACGTGGATCCCGACCCGTCTGAACTCCGACCTCCTCGCCATTGGCATGGGACCTTGGCATGCATCCCTCTTCTCTTTCGTCATCCCTGTTCCCGCCCCCTACCTTCCTACCTCTCTCCATTCCCATCTCCCGACCTCTCTCTTTAACCCCCTCCCTCTCCCTCTCGCCATCCCGCGATGCACCCCCCATCCAGAATCCTTCTTCCTCCACTGAATTTTTTGAATTTTGCCTAAGGTCTCTCTCTCTCTCTCTCTCTCTCTCCCCCTCAGAGTGCGTGTATGCATATGTATCTTGTGTGTGTGTGTGTGTGTGCGTGTGCGTGTGCGTGTGCGCGAGTGCGTGTGCGTGTGCGTGTGTTGAGAGCTCTCCCTCAACCACTTCTCGACACCATGGAATCCTGCTTAGCTCGACAAAAACAATGTGCGTTCCATCTCGCGCCGCCCACCCCCCCACCCAACGTTCCACCTTGGAGCCCGCGCTTTCATGAGACTTGGGGCATACTCACACTGGGACCAATAATCCCAAATTCGCCCCCAAAAAGGTTCAGGACTGGTCACACAGATTTGCCAAAATGTACCATTCGTGTGCCCATTTGTCAGCGGCCTGTGCGGTCGCCTGTGGAGGTGTGACCGCAAATGCCCTATTTATTTTTTCGCATTTTCTGCGAGAATTGGTGAAAGCACTAGTTCACGAGAAAAGATTTTGCGGGAGGGGGGCCCAAAGCGCTTCCGCCGGCGCCTGTGCGCTCGGACCAAGCGCTGTTTCAACCGGCAACGGAGACCTGTTCAACAGCTCCCGCTATCGACGTGACGGCGGCCTGGAAGGTCACGTCACCAACCTCGTTCCTTGACACGGGAGCATGGAAGTTGAGGATAGTCTACTCTCATGGTGGTTTTGACCCCATATGAACGGCGAAGCTCCCCACCACACAGGGTATCGTAGAGCCTTTCTCTTCTGTAATCTCTATGTAGGAAGAACCCATCAATTATTACACACCATAGTTCTGACCTTCCTTCGTTCTTTCACCACTTGTCTCACTCCACCTTACAGAATACGACACAAGATGGAACTGGAAGGCAGACCCGCACAGGAGAGGTGGGAACCACGCTCTCCTCCCTCCCCTCCAGGGGACCGGGTGGACGACGACCGAATTAGGGAACTGTTACGACTCTGCTACGAAGACGGAGTTCTCCCCAGGGACATCGACCCTGGTGAGATGACAGTGGACGGATGAAACGTAAGGTTTAAGGTGAAGGAGTCGATTGACAAGCTGAAGGTCCAATGGCTGAAAGAGAGAACAATAACAGTTATTTACAGAGAAGCGGCAAGATTCTTACCAAGGAACATAAAGGAAGACCTTATTAGAGCATACGAAGACGAGAGAGTATAGGCAGGAGACTTTGAGGAGAACTTCCGAAAAGGAAGAGTAAAGATAGAGAGCCTTAACGTAGCTTCGTACATTGCTAAGAGCACAGCGATCTTTACGTGGATGGTCGAGAAAGGCGGAGCCGATGTAGTCTTGGGTTCCTCCACGAACGAAGTGGAGCTTAAGCCCTGGCTGACGAACGCATAATTTAGAGAACAGCGAAGACTACAGAGTCTCGCCAACTTCTGGGTTATTGTTGTCCAAGTACCACTGGATGCGATGTTCTGCCTCGAGGCACACATCAGGAGAGCCATTGGACCGGTCATCCTCACACACCCACCGGAGCAAGATGGCCAGAAGCCGGCCCTAGTCAACATCAAATTCGACATCGATCCAGAAGCTAGACCGAACATGAAGGACTCGATCACGGTGGATACATTCGAAGGAGATGAACTAGTCGTCAAGCTAGCATCATCAGAAACACCACGGTGTTGTCATTGTAGGGCGTTCTTTCACTCGGCAGACGAATGTCGAAGGGGAAATCAAACAAGACAACTAGAGGCAGAATCAAGACGAGGAGAAGGTAATTTAGGAGTTCAAGGTACAGCACCAAGACCACGATACGAAGGTCCGCTAGGGAACACAAGGAACGAACAACCGGCAGCAGCAGCCTCAAGCCTCGGTGATCAAGGAGGTCAGGGTCAAGAGTTTGGGTTCAATAACGTCTACCCGAATCCGGCCTTTCAACCTCAACCCCTGCTGTTCCAGATGGAAGTCATGCTTGCGAGAAGAACGGGAGAATGTCATAGGCACACCGGGCACGAAGACAAGAAGAAATCGTGATCGAGCAACGCTTATTCGAGGTCAACAAGACAACGTGGAGAAGAAGATTATTCCCATCCTATGCACAACAATAAGAGGAAACTTATGGGTGGTAGTGTGGAGTGGAATCGATGGAGTACCAGAGCTGCATAGCTTCACCTCTCCGGACCAACCGATGCCCACGGCAGTCGCCACTCTTTTGCAAGGTTTCCTTAGAAACAAGTTTCCCATTCGGTTGATACTAGATGAACCAATGGAAAGATTTTTTCTAGATCTTCCAAACAATCGAAAACCGAAATTTTTCACTTCAATCCTCGATGCAAGATTCGACGAAGCTCAACTTTTGATGTTGGAACAGGAGGGTTTGAGACTGTTACCTATGGTGTGGTTTGCAGGAGGCAGACGACAGGATTTGTGTAGAATTCGGGTTCTGCCTTTTCTTTCGGCCGAATTTTTGGTGGACTTGGACGGGAAGTTGGCCAACGATAAGAAAATGAATTCAAAATTCATCAGGGAGGCTCTCACCACACCTTGGGAAGTGCATTCGATAAGCACGAGCTCCTCCACTCCTATCCAATAGGGAAACGGGAGATCAGGCTGAAATGGGTAAACTATGTCTCGCCACTTGGAACCCAAAGGTTTGGGAGATTCGTCAGGAAGGTTTAAAAAAGCCCGATTTAAGTCGTGGCTTCATGACAATCGAGTACACGTAGCATGCGTGCAGAAATCTAAGTTAAATGAGGAACGCATTAGAGATCTGGGACAATGGTGGGATGTGCCCTAAATCTGGTCTAGCCCACGGGTCTAGGGGGGGTGGCTAATATCCTACTGCACCGGGATGATATCTTTAAAATCATAGATTACTTCGCAGACCTTTGGGGGCGTTGGGCGTGGGTGAAGCTGTGGTTTGAAGATGCAGAATGGGTGATTGCCTCAGTTTACGCTCCAACTGATGGCGAGGGAGAGCGAATTTTTTCAATGATCTGAATTCCGCTATCCTAGACTGTGTTAATTTAATAGTGACTGGGGACTCGAATGTCTCATTGGACTCGGCAATGACGAAAGTAGGTAGTCAAAATCTGGCAGATATCACGAACCTCTTAAATTTGATAGAGATTTATTCCTTAATTGACCCGTACCGCCTCACCCAGCCTCATAAGGAGGGATACACGTGGTTCTCGAACTACCGGGAGGGAATAGGAATAATAAGCCGCATATCATACTACTTTCTCATATATGAAAACCTTTGGGAGCAAACAGAGTTACTAAGAGAAACAACTCATAGCCTCTCTAACTACAAATTAGTCCTCCTGAAACTACTGACAACACTGAAAAGGAAAATTCGTTCACGAAAGTTCTTGCATAATAATTTATGGATAGTGTCGTGTGACCAGCAAGGTAACCAATCGCCATTGCTCCAGACGGCTAAGGCCTTGTCCCATCTGAAAAGGTACAGCAGTGCGACCCCAACCATGCCCAAAACCTCAAATCGGCCCTTCCCAAATCCACATATTTTGTGAATTTGGGGTCGCAGTGTGAGTATGCCCTCATTGACTTATAGTCAGGGCACGGGTGTGCAGCCCATAGTTTGTATATGCTGGATTGATGAACAGAGATAGATAGATAGATAGATAGATAGATCATATATATATATATATATATATATATATATATATATATATATATATATATATATATATATACAGAGAGAGAGAGAGATGTCATACAGACAAGGAGCAAAATGGGCACATGTGACTCAGGGCATACTCACACGAGGACCTATATTCCCAGAATCCCCCCCAAAAGGGAAAAGGCCGGTCACACGGATCTACCAAATTTGCAAAAGTACTATTCCTATGCCCATTTGTCATCGGCCGGGGAAGCCATGGGCTAGGGATTTTGTGGTCACGTCTGGAGGTGACCGCAAATTCCCTATTTCATTTTTCGCATTTTCTTCAAAAATTGGCAAAACTTTATTCACAAAAGTTCTTGCACAATTAGTGGATGGTCCCGTGTGACCAGCCAAGTACCAAATCCCCATTTCTCCAGACGCCCGTGACCTTGTCCCATTTGAAAAGGTGCACTAGTGTGACGTGAACCATGCCCGAAACCTCAAATCGGTCCTTCCCAAATCCGCATATTTTACGGATTTGGGGTCGCCGTGTGAGTATGCCCACACTCAATCTGGCGCTGAACGTGTGGGGCATTGAATATGTCCACGTTCAAACACATCTATTTGCACTTGCCAATGCAATGTAGGTGTGTCGTTTCAACGTGCGGCCAAGGCCGCACCGCTTCTGATTCAGACTTTTTCACTTTTCTACCCCGCCACTGCTTTGCCACCGTATTGATCGAAACCCGGCGCGCGGTCTCATGGGCAGCTACCGGTCTCACATTATTCAAAGAAACCGCCACCATCCCCCAAAGTTTCATCCCGCCGCTGCTTTGCCATCATTTGGACGAAAAACCAGCGCGCGGTCTCACAACAGCTACCGGTCCCGGATTTTTTAAAGAAACTGCCACCCCCCCCCAAAGTGTCGTGTCTACACCTGCCCGCATTTTTTGAACCATCCAACGACCAAACGAGCCCGAATCAATGACGGGTATAACAAAGGATGATAAAAATGTCTTTGGAGGGGAACACGGGGACCTAACGGGCTGCGAACACGGGAACCTGATAGCCCAAATTCTCAAAATGTTGAGGCAGGTTTCGGGTCGTACTAGGTCTTCCCCGTACCCTATTGCACTTCTTTGGTTACCCAAATGTCAGAAGTCTGGGAGGCCGCATGAGGACCCTTTTTTATGGCATACTTAGGGGCCGGCGTACTCACACTGCGAATTTGGAAAGGGCGGATTTGAGGTTTTAGAAATGGGGGTTTGGTACTTGGCTGGTCACACGGTGAT